TCTGTGTCTGAACTATATCCTTAGGTCTTCCCAACACTCAAAATCATTACCTTGCAAGCAGACAATGGGTTCCTCCTTTAGAGTAGGAGCGAGTGAAATGTGTAAAAATGCAGATGTTGCATGAATATGGATATTGTGGTTCTTGGAGAAAAACAATAAAAAAGAATCTGTGGTAACTATTGTTGTATAAAACTACCCTTTTCAGGACCACTGTCTTATGATCCGAGTTCTCCCAGCCCTTTGACTCTCAACTGTATCTGCCTATTTCGCCTCCATTCCTCTATCATTCTCATGGCTGGTATCTCCCCCGAAGAAACAGATGTAGCATGTGGTTTTGTATGATGGTTCTCCAGAAGACACCCTGGGAATGCTGGCTATACCACACTCTTCACACACTCAGAAAACAGCATCCACCGTAACAGCTCCAGGAATCTGCACAACCTGGAGATCAGATTGCCTAAAAGGATATGAGATCCACGTGCTCACAGATACACACTAGAGAAACCAGAATTGCTAAACACACTTTTTTCTTCAAAGGAGGAAATTGACGCCTGCTCACCTGGAAGGCTGGAGTGGATGTTTGATATCAGGTGGTCTTCTGATAGTCTTTGGAGCTAGGCCTCACCCAATTCCCTCCAACTACTGGGCATTGCTTTTCAGTCAATAGAACCCATTCTCATGAAAGAGGGTCCATATATTTTGCAAAACAGTTTGCTATACTTATTACAAACCCTTTCTCCTTGGCCTCTATCTCTAGCACTGCTTCTCACTGATTGATAGGATCCATCCTTTTGCTCATTGCAAACCCTTCTGCCCTCGGCCCTTGTCCTGAGCAACTGTCACAGTCAGTAGAACCCATTCTGTGGGAAAGGTTACAGGTGCTTCGCTAAAGAGATGTACTTTACAAAATGTTTAGATGCAGCCGTGTCTAAAGCTTTGTTGTGATAATTTTCCATGGGAAATTTCCCCCCAAGTTTTACTGTGTTTAAATATGTGATAAAATAAAATCCTTGGTAGCAGACCCCAGAAGTCTGAACAAGCGCTGGGTCGCTAAGTTGAACTGAAACAAGTTCATGGTTTCATGACTGGCTGTGATGCTTGCAGGGACCTTCCCAACATTGCCAGACTTGGAGATTCCTTGTCAAGAAGGGAAGAGACCAGGCTCCCATGTGCCTTTTCCAACAGGGAAGAAGCCTTCAGAGTCACTGGCTGTTGGAGCAGTTGGAAAAATTAAGAAGGCTGCCAAAAGCTCAGGAGCTAATATTCTCAGGAAGCTAAGCAGGTCAGAGCTGTCAAGAGAATGCTGAACTTACTCATGCAGAGAAAACTTGTGGCTTTTGACCCAAGACCTATGAACAACCACTCTGTGATGAGAACTGAGAATTCTGCCAGCATCGTCCCTGTTTCCTTCCTATTGGCATCTTTTGAAGACAGCACTTTTTCGGTCAAGAATCGCATTTGAGGAATGCTAGCCGTAAGAAGAACTTGAGAAGTGTGGGTTCCTGATCATAACTTTCCCTTTATATTTCAGGAGAGGATTCTGAGCCCCAGAATATGATGATGTGACAAAGGTCACATAACTGGAGAGAGAACCCAGCCCGTGCAGTTCTGTACTTTCTCCTGATGTGCAACCCATGAGATTCTCAGCAAGTCCCTCTTCCTATAGCAGAAATAAAACCATGAATTTGGTACTGTTTCTTTCTTAGGTACCACAGAGAGACTACGAAAATTATTTAGGTAGTCAGGCAATCATTCTCTCTCTCTCTCTCTCTCTCGCTCGCTCGCTCTCGCTCTCTGCCTTTGACAAAGACATAAATTCTGTATGGGAAATAAACATTCGCTTCTTTCACCCCATTGGGTAGTATATTTTTTAGGAGATAGCAGAGCAGTGAAGGACAAGGGTATTCTGCCATCAAGTGTCCTTAGGCAAATCATTCTCTCTCTTTGCTGAGGGTCTCTCTCTCTATGTTTGTCACTCCTTGACTCTGGAGGTGAAAATCCTTTAAGAAGCTTATAGCCTAAAGGAAAGGAATTGTGAATCAGGATTCACTGAACGGCAGAATAATGGCAGTCGCTGCAAGAGCCATTACAGCCTCCAGCCAGTGTGATGTCCACGGCTCTGTGAGGCAGAAACTACCCACCTTGTGTTGCATTTAATCAGGTCAACCATGCCAGGAGAAGACCGGGGGCAGCGGTAAACTGCCACTACAGAAGACTAGACTGAAGTTGGGCCAACCATCATCGATTGGCTCATAATAGGCTGGAAAGGAAACCTCAATCCCTACTGACCCAAAGCTCTTCCCAGTGGACTTGAAATAGTTCAACAGCCTGGCCACAGATTTTGGAAGTCTTTCCTGCCTTATGTGGGTGTCCCTGACCATTTTACAGACTAAAACCCGTGTCTGCGCAGCTGGGAGAGAGTATGTAATGAGTGAGCTGACAGCTATGACTGCAGCATTTTCAGCTCCTCCACGCCATCAACAAAGCCTATTTGCTAACTGCATGATTCAAAATTGTCCTCATGGTTTTCTTTGTCCCGTAACATGTGATAAAGTGAGATCATAGAGACCACAGAGCCTAGGCACATAAGGTTAGGGGAAGGGGACATGTGGCTTCTCTCTTCCTGAGCTCAAAAGTCAGGGCCAGCCTGGGGGACAGACTAAAATGCCCGTAAGTAAGTAAACTAGGAAAGGCCAGCGATGACCCCAAGCAGGCAAGGGAAGAGAGCCCAGCCCAGCTCTAATTACCTTCCTCCGCTTCCTGTTGCCATTCGGGATTTTGGTATTCTACATTTTCTGTTCAATGTGTTGCCAAGCCCTTCATTCTCTCAGTCCTCATGCTGACATTTTCATTTTCTGCCTGAGAATTCCAACAAACCCATTTCGTCGCTTTGGACCTTTATTTTCTTACCCAAAGATTGGAAATAACGACAACTATCTACCTCATGGGGTGGTTCTGAAACTTTAATGAGATATGGATGGTGAAACTGATTTATAAACTGCTAAACACCATACCAAAAAAAAAAAAAATAAGTCTGGTACCACTTTGCACCTGGAATCTCATTTAAGACCACATGATCCAGAATATGTAAGATGCTGTTGAACTAACAACATCGCTGGGAGGAAAACGAGGAGAGCTCACAGCCAGGAGCTATTATGCCTAAATCCTTAATGCCTTAGAGCTGCAGGCTGCTGTGCCTGCATGGGTACACCTGAGACCCTCTTCTTTGGTCCTCTGCCTTTGGTCCAGCAGGGCAAGTGTGGCTTCATAATAATCAAAAAAGTGTTTTAGGCTCAGTGGGAGAAGGAAATGGTCTCTAATAGTCATAATTCAAAGAGCTACCTGAAAAGGAGCAGGATGCTAATAACAGGCATGTGCGGTGACTCACGTTTGTTTAATAAAAATTAAAGATCACTCATCTCGAGGACAATGATTATGCCCGGAAGAACACACAGCATTGGCCTGTGATGAAGGGGCTGATTTCATCCCCTCTTTATTATTCTCTATTATATTCTTTTCTTCAGCCCAAAGGAGTGGGCTCACTCAAGCACTTCCGTGGAGTCCACCTTTTCGGGGAAGAGAATCAGAAATGGATTCCACCGAAAAGACGTCAAGTCTGATTCCTAATCTCACAAGCCCAGAGACCTCGAGCCTCCCTGCTATCCCATCACTAGTTAATATGAAAAGGCCTTTAAAACATGAGTTTGGTCTAGTCTACAGAATGCCTTAGAAAAACAAGGGGGTGGACCTGACTCTAGAACTTCCAATTTGATGGAGAAAGGAGCAGGGATCCAGTTCAGACATAATTAGGACCTGTCGTTTTCTAACCAATTACTACCTTGATTCTGTCAGCTTTTGTCTGGGAAAGCAGCGGAGCACTGTTTGTGGTGCGAATGGCTAATTTCATACACAGTTTAACTAGGTGGTTCGATCAAACTGTTCTTTCCTATGAAATTTGATGGTGGGAAATGATTACCATATAAAAAAGATTTCACTCTGTTTGATTGAGTGATTTCTATAAAGTGTCTATAGCATAATTCCATGCCTGTGAACGTTAATTTTGCAGCAGCCAGCTGTAATTGGGTTCTAAGGCAGGAAGAGCGAGCCAAGCCTCCTCTCCCACAGTTTTAGCCTCTCTGGTGTGATACTGAATGGTGGAGCAGACATAAGGGGAAGCGAGAGGATGGAATAGGAAGAGAGAAAAAATGGGATTGTATTTGAATGTGCAGGCAAAAGTTTAACGCTTTGCTTTGAAAACCCCTGCAATAGGAAACAAGGAATTGCAATGCTCATTCACTTCAGTAAGTAAAGGGGAGCAAGACACCAGGCTGAGCTGGTTCCCTGGCTTTGTTCACAAAGGGGGTGGGAATGGGAGCTTTGAAGATGACAAAATGTGCTACTGTATCTTCTCCTCCCCCCATCATTTCCTTAGAGGCCCTGGTCCTTGGTGGTGGGAGAGATACCCTCACAAAAATGGAACTAAGACAGTTCTATTATGTGACATTAAAGGACAAGGTGGGCTGGTGGCTGAACGAGATGTACCCCATAATTTATTTGGTTCACAGTTGATGGTGAAGTTCGGGGAAACTTCGAAGCGTAGCCTTGTTGAAGGAAGTATGTCATTGGAGGTGAGCTTTGAAAGATTAAAAAGTTGCACCATTCCCAGTTTCTTCTCTCTTGAAGTTCAAGATGTGAGCTCTTAGCGGCTGCTTCGGCCAACACTCCTTTGCTTCCACATCATGGACTCTAACCCTCTAGAACCATCAACTCAAATCAACGGTTTATTCTATACACTTCTTTGGGCATACGGTTTTATTCTAGCAGTGGAAAAGTCACGAAGACCAGTGGGTCATTCTTGGTAGGCACTTGCCATAAACCTCCTCATTATTTGCCATCATGCCCCAATTCTCTCCCCACCCTTCAAATGTTGATGTAACTCTTCAGGGGTCATTGAATAGAAATTGTGATTTTCATAAATAATTTTGCCCAAGAGACTATAATGGTATTTACCTTTTATTTACATATATACTACAAAGGGGACTTAAGCTCAAAGATTCAAATAGTTCACCCATGGCTTTTTCAGTGAGCTCTGGCATTCTTTCTTTTCCCCTGCCTGATAATTCAGTGTGCCTCTTTGTTCTTGTGGAGTAATGAACCTGGTGCCTCAGGGTGAGCCTTTCAGGGGAAGACAGGTAGGATTTAAGCACTCAGCTATTCCCCCACCACTATTAGTAATTCGAACACAACAGGCACACTCCCTTGTGGCTAAAATAAATTTTGGTTTTAAGAGCTAGTTTTCTACTTGGGAAGGTCCTTAAACAAAGAAAACCTGCAAAGTATTTTCTGAAACAAAGAAAACCTGTAAACTCTAGGTTCCTGAGAAAGGAAAATCAGAGTCAAGCTCAAGTTGGGGCGGGGCCTCCCCCCAAGAACCTTGAACCTGGGAGGAGGCAGTAGGCGGGTAGGAACAAATGTCAAACTGTGATGACTGTCAGCCCTGCAGATCCACTGGAATCAGTGAACTCTGCATAGGAGCTTGGTTGCTCTGACTGTCATCTGGAGCCAGTAGTGAAGATGAGCAGTGTGTGTGTGTGGGGGGGGGGGGGGGAACTTTCAGGAACTTTTCTTCTAGGCTCCCACACAACTTCCTTTCTTGCCACCAAGGAATCCAGAGAGAGACCATACTGTGGCAAACATTATCATTCATGTCTTTCTCCTTAACAGTCCAAAGAAGAAAACCAACTGCTTCTGCTTGTCTGCCTCCCTGGAATTCACAGACCTCCCTCTGGAAACAAGGGGGCTTTTGAGTTCTTCCAGGCCTCTCTCCGCCCCATCCCATCTATCTCTGTCATCTGTTGTCATTGTAGGACATGAATCATGTAAACAAACATTTTTTTTTTAATCTACAGTAGTCCTAATTGAATTGTTTTGCCGCATTGTTATGGAGAAACAAGGGCAATTTCCTGTCAGTTATTGAGCTATTTAGCGATTATTTCTTATCATTAGTCTGCAAATTCAAACAGCACCGAATTCTGTTTGCCAAATTAAAGCAGCACAGCATCACAGGGCCCCTTTGCAGAAGTCAGGCCCTCTGGTCAGGTATTTTCTACCTCTACTTCAGTCTTCTCCTCACTCCACCCAGCCCTGCCAGCCTGAGACAGTCTGGGCAGGAAAAGCCAAACACCCAGGGAGAGCCTACCTCAGAGGTGTTTGTCTCCTTGTGGCACTTACATTAGTTAATAGAAAGAGCTGCTGCCCATGGGAGCAACAGCCTCACTGGGTCACTTGACAGGCCAGCTTCCACTAAATAGCAAGGACAGATGAGGATGGCAACATTCTACATGACCAACTTCACAGACAGCTTTTTTCTTTTTTTTTTTTTTTTTTTGCCTTACACACCTGCTTCTCTGGAGACATTTCTCCAGTTTTCAATTCTTTCTTCTCGGGAATTCCATGGACATGTTTGCTCCACCTAGAGACCCAGGTACAGGCTTCCGAGAAGCGTCAGAGGTGTGTGAGAACAGCGTGTTGGTTGTCATTTGAAATGTAAGAGTCTTATGGAAATCTCACTTTTACCCACACTTGCATTTCAATGAAACTGGGCCAAGTGTACCCAGAGTGGTTTGGAGTGATAGAACACCTAGCCCCAGTGACATCTACAGCATTCTCAACATTCTCATTCTGTCTTGTCACCTTGGAGATGGAGCTATGTTGAGTTCATGGCTTGATAAACTGCCTACTCATTTTGGTGCCAGCTTCTCATCCCTTACCCTCTGTTTTCTTGAATGACTGTGGAGCTCCCTTATTGATTTGAAAGACTCCGTCTTCTCTCCTTCCCACCCCTGAGCTTCAGTACTCCAGGATGGTATTTAGAACATGTAGAGCCTGAGTCTAGTGGGATTAGTGGGAACAAGGGTGAGTGTTAAGTAGGGCAGAATAGTTCTGTGGTTTCTGTTGTCTTTTCTCCTATTGTTTTATATATGTATAAATATATAAAAATATATATTTGAATATATATATATATGTGTGTGTGTGTCTGTGTGGAGAGAGAAAAAGAGAAAGAGAGAAAGAGAGAGAGAAAAAGAGAAAGAGAGAAAGAGAGAGAGAAAAAGAGAGCGTGAGCGAGAGAGAGAGAGAGAGAGAATTGAGATTGAACCTCAGGCCTCATTTATGCCTATCAAAGGATCTGTCACTAAACTATAGTCCAATATGGGAAAATCAGTTGTCTTTTTTGTATTATTATTTTTTCCTGTTGTTTGTTTTCCAATCTTGTGTAACAAATCACCCAAATTTTGGCACATTAGAGAAATAGGAAGCAAATTCCTATTAGCTTATGATTTCTGTCGGTCGATCCAACTGTCTTGGTGGTTGCACTTAGATCACCAGCCTTTTCAAGTTGAGTTCAAGCTGTTAGTGGTCTAAGACTCGTTTAAAGTTGATGGGATTTCAAGGCTGACTTGATCTGGGAACCTACTTCTATGTTCACTCATGGGATGAGAATATACGAAGGTCTTGGCACCTTGTCCTAGGGGAGCTTCTCCATAGAAGTGCCTCATCAAGTGGTAGCTGACCTTCTGTAAGGGAAACCATTCAAAAGAAAGCAAAAAAGGGTCCTCCAGAACATAGCTGCAATTATGTTGTCATCTACTAAGAAACAAAATCTATCACTTTTTCCATATTCTCTTTTGCTATATGACAGTCATCAAGCCTTGCCTGCTACTTAAGATGATAAAGTGAGGGCATGAATTGTAAGGATCCCTGAGGTCACAATAGAATTGCCCACCATACTGATCTTCAAGAATTCTAGATTCTACCCTTCATACTTTGCTTTCCTTAATATATTGTAGAGTAATTCATGGAACATTTACCACATACCATGCTTGGGGTAAGTACCATGAGAAATTCAATCCTTGATAATGATTATTTTCCTTCCCTAACAGTCCCAAGTACACTAAGGAAGTAAGCATGTCCACAAACACTGTGAGAGGAGTTCAAATGCCTCACAGTGCATCAGGCAGTGGGATTGAAGGATACGTTTGTTCTTTGGTGGATATGAATCAGGACATTCTCTCTATTCTTTGCTTTTCCATAAGTAGGAAGGCAGAGAGAAGGTGAAAAGCAGAAAGGAAGGAAAAAAGCATCAGGAGAAAGGAGGGATGAAGAGAGTGACCAAGGTATAGGGAAAGAGGAATAAAAGGAGGGAAAGAAATTCTTAATTTTCTGAACTTGTACTTTTCAAAAAATATTTGGTAATCCTCATCAATACAAATGTGTATAATTTAGATTGATATCCACAGTTTTTCTATTTCTGTTTTACACTCCCTACTCTCCTCTCTATACCCTTAGATGGTGAAGTAATAATTGACGGACCCAGGATTGTAGCCTAACATTGCCAGTCTCTAAACTTTATATTGTTTCTACTGTCTACCTGAATCTTCAAACCTTTTAAGTTTGACAGATGGTTAGACACAGGAAGTGAGGGCAAAGAGGCAAACCATTGAGCTCCCTAACGTCTTCAACCAGAATCAGGAAATGATCCACCTTTTATGATCTAGGAAGAAGAGAATGGAAAGGAAGAACTCAATTTTGGATTTGCCAACATGATGTTCTACCTGCAGTTTCAACAGACTGGTCTGACTTGAAAGAGTGAACTTGTAGATAACAGAGGGCATCAAGCATTTACTTAAAGAAGTGGTTATTGAAGCTATAGGAGGAACTGACATCATCCAGAACTGACCAATAGGAATGAATAGCTTACAGCTCACAAACTGTATCCATGGTCCACATTGTGAGAGCATACAAAGTCAAACTGCAGAGGCCTAGCAGCTTCACACAGACAATCTTGAAAGTCAGAGAGAACACAACCATGGTGAACTCAGGACTTGATGGTGAGGGACTCTTTCCATCAGATCTCAGCATGCCGGGGAGTTTTCTTCTTCCTGAAAGGCTTAGAGATAAATATGAAGCTTGAAGTCCATTGCAATGAGAAACCTCAAAGATGCTCTCCAGCAGATGTTCCTCCTGGTATTTGCCTTCAAGTACTTCTCTTGAGTATAGACCTTTTAGAGTGTCTTGGTTATGGCAGAGACAAAGTAGAGGCAAGTGGAGGCTGTTCATAGGATCTTCTGATCTGGAAGCCCCCTATAGCTCACTTGCTTGCCTCTGAAAGAAGGTGACTGCCTTTTTGTGAACTTCTCCAGAGAGACCCAAGTGGTAAGGAGCTGATTTCTCCCTTCAGCTGACAAACCTGAATTTGATCTAGGAAAACTTTTCTGTCCCAAATGAGTGCTTGTGGATAGCTATGTAAAATCTTTTATGTATTAAAATATAATTGCACTATTCCCCCCACATGTCTTTCTACCCTCCAACCCTGCCAATGCACCCCCTTTGCTAAATCCATGGCCACCATTTCTTTAATTGTTGGTGTGTGTGTTTCTTACATTCAGTTCTTATAATGCCATTTGTATGTATATGACACTTGGAGAAATAGTTTTCCATAGGGAAAAGCCCCACATTGGTTATTCAATGATATTTTTATAGGGTGTAAGTCAGAGGTTCCTACCTTTGTCTTGCTTACATTCCTGATCTTCAGAAACTAAAATGATACTTACTGTTTTAAGGTACCACCTGAAATGTAAGGTTTGTCACTTACTCAACTTCTAGTTCACCACTTCAAATACTCCAGGGTGGAGGAAGTAGAACTCTTCTCACATGGGTAGAGGCCAGAGCAGGACACTTGGGAAAGCTTGTGTAGAGCAGGAGGAACAACTTTACATATCCACCTTACACATATTTGTAGAACAGCAGACCTTCTTTTTTATTTAAACAGAAAAGGGGAGGTGATGTAGGATTTCTCTCTTTGTGCTGTGATTTCCATTAACGAATAAACAAACTGCTTTGGACCTGTTAAAAAAAAATCTGTGATTTTGAAATGCCAGCTTTCTGAGCCATGCTGCAAGCGCTACCTCTGGGTCTTTCAGGAGGCCAAGCATTTAAATGGGTTTTGTAAGCAGTGCATTACAAACTGCTTAATAGCTCAACATAGACCCACTGTATACTTGGAACTGGGTCAGTGGTGTGTGTGGCTCACAGGCATTGAACGGACTTCCTCTGCCATGTTGGACTGCTTGGAACAAGCAGGCAGGCCATATATACCCTAGTAGTGGCACAGCTTAAGTTTTTAACAAGTGTTTAGCATTTTAAGAAGTGTTCCTGGACAGTGAAGAATTACAGGTACACAATAGGACAGATTCAGACATAAAAGACCTCTAAATGGGTCACAGTGTTGGATAAATGTATGTAGGCTTGGGGGAGAGAAGAGAAAGAGTATAAAGTGTTAAATAAATGGTCTACAAAAATAAAATAAAACAAAATCTTTAACAAGACAGAGTATAGACAGTCATAGATTAAAAGAAGTAAAGAAAAATAAGCCACAAAAGATGGAAACTTCACAGAGAGTCTGGATTATGTATATTATTGTGTTTTCTTTGAATTTTTTGACTGTAAAGGAGCTAAGTACAGAGAGACATTTTATTGTTTGGGCTGCTAAGCTAAGCTGACAAATATATCTTAAAGGTATCTTGATTTCAAAATATGGACCTAAGGATATGTTGCTTTGGAAAAGAAATTCTTCTTTTGTTTCCACAGAGGATGCAAACCTGTGGATTGCTTCCAGACTAATATGGTTTGATGGAACAAGATGCTCTGAAATGTCACCTTGAACACCTCTCAAATATTACTTCACCCAATAAACATCAGAAAGCAGTTTGGATAGAACAATGCACATATTTACAAATACTGTCTATAATTGTTTATATTGATAGGGGGATATGCTATAGAGATTTGCATTGGCATGGATCTTGGTTTATTGGTACAAATTTAAGGTCAATCTTGATATATGTATATTTCTGCTCTTGATTAAGGTATTGAGATTGTTTAGTTCATTTGTAAATAAAATATATAATTAAGAAATACAGGTTAAAAGATAGTCATCTTTAGTAGTCAAGCTTGGAGTCATGTTAGTTAGATTTTTCTAGATGTACAGATATGTATTTCATATGCATAGGCATTTTTCAATCCTTTCAAAGACTACAGAATATGGCATTTAAAATGTTTTAAGAACTTAGGACTTTTCATGACAACGAGACACAGCTGTTCCTGGCAGTACCAATTACTTCAAGAGGAAGATGGGCATTGAAGAGGCTCTTCATAGAGTTGGTTAGCCATTTGGGCAAGAAACTTCTCTTTTCTGGACTGCTTGATGAACTGGACATGCAGGACCCACAGAGAAATGACTGCTAAATTGCCTAATGGTGAGATGATCCTTCAGGGTTCCTGCTTCATGAAAGAGTCTGCCAGACATTCAACAGGACATAGAAGGATATGACTGACAAACTGCCAATATATATGTCTTTGAAATTTTCTACTTCATGAAAAAATCTGCTGGATACTATGATTCTGTAGGCTGAAGATGGATACCCCAAAGGTAAAGAAGAACTTTGGGTGACTATCCAGGCAACAATATGTCTCTGTCATTTTTAGAGTTCTGGAAATTGCTTACAAATGCACTTCCTGTTTACTTAGGTAATATTAAATCCTTCTGGAGTCTTTGATAGAGTTG